CAGTCATTACACTGTCCACAAAAAAAATGTTGGTTGTTAAAGAAAAATTGTAAATAAAACAAATACAAACAAACAAAACAAAAAGTTACGATGGTGCTGAAAAAAATGACTTATGACCACTTTTCCTACTTAGAACCACTTCGGTATCTCGTGCTCACGTGATCTGAATTCAGAGCCTTGAATTTGGATATACAGGTAGTCCTTGACTTACAACAGTTCATTTAGCGACAGTATGAAGTTACAATGGCACTGAAAAAAGGGACTTACCGTAGGACCGTTTTTCACACTTACGACTGTTGCCGCATCCCCAGGGATCAAAATACAGACATTTGGCAATTGTTTGGCTTGTGTTTATGACGGCTGCAGTGTCCGGGGGGTCACGTGATTCCCTTTTGCGACCTTCTGAAAAGCAAAGTCAGAATGGGGAAGCACCAGATTCGCTTAACGACCAGGTCCCTAACTGATCAACTGCAGTGATTCACTTAGCCATGGTGGCAGGAAAGGTCGTAAAATGGGGCGAAATTCATTAAACAAATAAGATGAGATGAGATGATGTAAGATAACATAACATAAGATAGGATAATAAAGAAAAAAGAAAAGAAAAGAAAAAAGGGAAGGGAAAGGAAAGGAAAGAGGAAGGGAAGGGAAGGTGATAAGGAGATAAGATATAAGATATAAAAGATAAGATAAGATAAGAGATAAAGAGGTAAACCGCTCCAAACTCGATTGCAGAAAATATGACTTTAGCAACAGAACGGTCAACGCCTGGAATGCTCTACCCGACTCCGTTGTTACGTCCTGTAACCCCCACAGCTTCAACCTCAAATTCTCTACCATGGACCTAAGAGGTCTGTAAAGGGTTACTTCTCTTCTCTTCTGCATTCTCTTCTGCATTCTCTTCTTCTCTCCTCTTCTGCATTCTATTCTTCTCTCCTGCATTCTATTCTTTTCTTCTCTTCTATTCTATTCTTTTCTTCTCTTCTTTTCTGCATTCTATTCTATTCTTCTTTGTGCAATATCTTCTCTTCTCTTCTGCATTCTCTTCTTCTCTCTCTGCATTCTATTCTATTCTTCTCTTCTCTCCTGCATTCTATTCTATTCTTCTCTCCTGCGTTCTATTCTTCTCCTGCATTCTATTCTTCTCTTTTCTTCTCTTCCGCATTCCCTTCTTCTATTCTCTTCTGCATTCTATTTTATTCTTCTCTTCTCTTCTGCAATCTCTTCTCTTCTATTTTGCATTTTATTCTTCTCTCCTGCATTCTTGTCTTCTCTTCTGTTGTCTTCTCTTCTCTTGTCTTCTCTTCTCTTGTCTTCTCTTCTCTCTCTTCCCTTCCCTTCCCTTCCCTCCTTCCCTTCTCTCTTCCTCTCCTCTCCCTCCTCTTCTCTTCCTCCTCTCCTCTCCTTCTCTGCATTCTATTCTTCTCTTCTCTTCTCCATTCTCTTCTCTTCTCCATTCTCTTCTCTTCTTCTCTTCTCTTCTGCATTCTAGTCTTCTCTTCTCTTCTGCATTCTCTTCTCTTCTGCATTCTATTCTATTCTTCTCTTCTCTTCACGTTCTACTCTATTTCATCTCATCTCATCTCTTGCGTTATACACCCATACATATACTTTCAATATTAATCACTGTCCATTTTGAATACATGGCAGAAAGTCGAAACTTGAGAGTTCACGGGGCCGATGCTCCATGGAACAAAACCGTGACCGAATCTGGACGTTCCGCCTTTGGATTCAGTATCTCATCTAAATCTTGTCTTCTATCTTCTCTTAAGAAACATCTCGCTTAGCCATGGGAGTGTTGGGCTCCGTCGCAGTCGTAAGTCGAGGACTCCCTGCCTAGACCCGGCGATGTCACCCCGTTTAACCTGCACTTATCTCTCCATCCTTTACATCAATGCTGGCTTCCTGCCTTCCCTCCCTCCCTCCTGGAACAGGATCTGCTGGCAAACAACGCCGAATAAGCAAAGAGGAGCCGGTGAGATCAGCTTACATCCTCCGCTACTTCATCCTAATGAGCTGGCTCGCATCCTGCCCTCCTGGTCTCCTTCGCCAGGGTTGGACCAGCCTGTGCTGCATGGTTGAGGTGCTTCAAGGTAGGACCTCCCAGGTGAAGGACTCCAATGCTCCCCGTGTGGTGTGTGTGTGTGTGTCTAGGACAATTTTCCACGGACATTTCGCCATGGGACAAGAGTTACACCAACATCAAAGAAATGGTGGAACAGAACAGTTCAAGAAAGGATGCCAAAGGAGGGACGGAATGAATTAATGTGGATTAAAATAAAATTTGTATTTATTTCAAATAATTAAATAGACTCGTTAAAACTGTCCCATGGTGAGTTTTCCTGCGGCGAGTTGGCCATGGCGAGTTGGCTGAGGTGAGTTGGCCGTGGCGAGGTGTCCCATATAACATAAAATACATAAAATATATAACAAACCCTCCGCAGGGGAATCCGTTTGTAGCTCATTGGGATTGAGAAGACTGTAAGGGCATGCCATCGATCCCAAAGGTGCTTATTTACAAGAGGCAACTGGACGTCCTTATTTTTTCTTTGAAGACATTTCACTTCTCATCCAAGCAGCTTCTTCAGTTCTGACTGGATGGTGGGGAAGGGAAGGATTTATACTCCTTGTAAACAGCTGGTCATTTGCATCCTTTCAGAGGGTTGTTGAGGCCACTTGGAGGTTTCTCTGTGCCCTCAGGGCCACCTCGGTGGTGCAAATGGTTCCTGTAGTCTGCAATTTTTTCCTCTGGAAATCTATTCTTACCCCTACACCGTTCAAAGGGGGCTCATCCCAAATTGTGTAGCTAAAAGTCTGTAGAGATTCTCAGTCATCCAGATCATGGTTGTTCCAAAGTTGTGCTTTTTCAAGAGGCAACTGGACTTTCTGGTTTTTTCTTTTGAAGGCGTGTCGCTTCTCCTCCAAGAAGCTTCTTCAGCTCTGACCGGATGGTGGGGAACGGAAGGATTGATACTCCTTGCAGACACAGCTGGTCCTTTGAATTCCTTTTGAGAGATTCATTGGGGCCACTTGGAGGTTTGTCTGTATCCTCCGAGTCACCGGAGTAGTGGGGTCCACAACACAAACATTTCAGCAGTTCCAAGAAGGCTTCACACCCATTTGCACCACTCAAGGGATCCATGCCATCAAAATTTGGCAACCGGCAGGTAATGATGATTGCAGAATGCTGGAGTCACGTGATCACCATTTGAGACCTTCCCAGCCACTTTCCAACAAACAAAGTCAATTGTGTGTGTGTGTGTGGGGGGGCTGACTCACTTAACAACAGCGTGATTCACTTAACAACAGCAGTGATTAGTAAGATGGCTGTGAGGGGAACCCGGTTTCCCCATGGACTTGGCTTTGTCAGAAAGTCGCAAAAGGGGATCCTGCGACACACGCACACCCTGGGATACTGCATCCCCGTCATAAATATGAGTCAGCCGCCAAGTGCCTGAATTTTGAGCGCGTGACTATGGAGAGGCTGCAAGGGTCGTTAAGTGTGAAAAATGGTCTTAACTCACTTTTTTCCCATTGACGTCGTAACCTTGAATGGTCACTAAATGAACTGCTGTAAGTCGAGAAGTATCTGTAAAGCTTGATTCTGGAGATGGGTAAATATGTCCTATCTCACCCATCTTCCTTTGCAAACACCTCTCTCTCTTTGTTTCTCTCTCTGTTTCTCTCTGTTTCTCTCTCCCTCTTTCTTCCTCTTTCTCTGTTTCTCGCTGTTTCTCTCTGTGTTTTCTCTCTCTCCCTCTTTCTCTCTCTCTGTTTCTCTGTCTGTCTGTCTCTTTCTTTCTTTCTCTCTCTCTTTCTCACTCATTCTCTCTCTTTCTCTGTCTCTCTGTCTCTCTGTCCCTTTCTTTCTTTCTGTCTATCTCTCTTTCTCTCTCTCTCATTTACTCTTTATCTTTATCTTTCTCACTCTTTCTGTCTCTTTCTTTCTCTTTCTCTCTCTCTTTCTCACTCATTCTCTGTCTCTCTGTCTCTCTGTCCCTTTCTTTCTTTCTTTCTTTCTGTCTATCTGACTCTTTCTCTCTCTCTCACTCACTCACTCTTTATCTTTATCTTTATCTTTCTCTTTCTCACTCTTTCTCTCTGTTTCTCTGTCTATCTCTTTCTTTCTCTTTCTCTCTCTCTTTCTCACTCATTCTGTCTCTCTGTCCCTTTCTTTCTGTCTGTCTCTCTGTCTCTTTCTCTCTCACTCACTCACTCTTTATCTTTATCTTTCTCTCTCTCTTTCTCACTTTCTCTCTGTCTGTCTGTCTCTTTCTCTCTCTTTCTCATTCTCTCTCTCTGCGTGTGTCTCTGTGTCTGTTTCTCTGTTTGTTTCTCTCTCTCACTCACTCTCTGTCTGTCTGTCTGTCTCTCTCTCAGTTCAGAGCTCCACCCTAGAAGCCAAACAGGTACAAACCAAGCCGGATCTTCCCACTTCACGTGCCCATACCTAGTGTGGACTTTACCACTTCTGGGGCCTGGAGACCTGCCCAGGTAGGGCAAACCTCCCTCTCCAGCTGTGAGATCCCAGCCAATTTTCTTCCTTGCACTTCCTCATCCACCTGGCCCAACCTGTCAGTGAGGTTAACTGGCAGACAGACGTAGGAAGCTTGCAAGGAGCTGGTGCGGCACACCTGAGGCAGGTAAGGGCCTCTGGATCTGTTCTCTTTGAGTCGGCTCTGTGTGTGTGTGTGTGTGGAGGGTGCTACAAGGGAGGAGAGGGGCTGGTAAGGTTCACTCCTGGGTCCTTCCCCCCATTTCTGGGGTTGCTAGAGGGGTGCGGCAGGGACGGACTTGACCCAGCGCATTGATCCAAGCCAGGATAAAAATCCCAGGACCAGCATGAGATAACTAACCACGCTAATGTTGGTTTGGTGGAATTGTTTTGTTTTAATAGTTTAGAGCAGGGTTTTTTTTCAACCGTGGCAACTTGAGGCTGTTGGACTTCAATTCCCAGAATTCCCCAGCCAGCCATGACATCACTGGGGCTTGTTTGGCTGGCGAATTCTGGGAGTTGAATTCTTGGCTAGCTGAGGAATTCTGGGAGTTGAAGTCCATTATCTTCAAGTTGCCAAGGTTGGCTGGCTGAGGGATTCTGGGAATTGAAGTCCACCCTCCTCAAGCTGCCAAGGCCAAGAAACATGGCTTAGCATGTTGAGTGTGACCAACTCAAGTGGCTAAGACACTGAGCTTGTCGATCAGAAAGGTCGGCAGTTCGAATCCCTAGTACAGATCTCCTGCGTGAACTGGGGGGTGGACTTGATGACCTCCAAGGTCCCTTCCGACTCTGTTACTAACCTAACTCTTTGCTGGCACTTTGGCTCACGTGAGAGTGCAAACACAGGAAATTCATTTCAGACCCAAGTGACGTGAGAAGGCAGTTGTTGGCTCACACGCCCGCAAACCCTGTTTTTCTACTATCTCGTGAATCCAAGCTGGGTTGGTGCATTATGGTTTGGTTGCTCTGTCGACATGACATCCTTAACCAGGTTTGCGTTTGCAAGGGTTCCAAGAGATTAGGCACTCTGCAATGCAAATCTTTTAGAGAAATGTTGGTCCGGTATCTCGATGTTTATTTCAATGTTCAGAAATAAATGTTCAAAAATAAACCCCTTTTGAGAATTGTCCAGGGACGTCAATGAATTAAAAACTCAGCCAAACGAAGCAAAAACAGACAGGAAAATTATACTGCGGAACTTTCTGATGGAGATGTTGCAGGTGAAATAAAGGCCAGCAGATGCAGTCATAGTAGGCTAAATTTGGTTAATATTAACCTGGGTTGTGATCATCATGGAAAACAGGAGCCAAGCAGGCCGAAAACTACTACGCTGCCTGCAGTGATTTTATTCTCACAATATGCAACTGTAAGCCATACATTCGTACAACCTGTTCAGCTAGCTGGCTTCCAGTTAATCCTGGTGAGCTTCTTTGTGGCTTCCAGTGCTGCATGAATCTCATTACATGCCCAGAATGTGGGTTAATTAAATATAGTTAGCTATATAAATATAGTCTCTGTGAAATGTTAGCCACCATTACTGTGATCAAACAGTCCTCGACTTAACAACAGTTCATTTAGTGACCCTTTCGAAGTTACAACGGCACTGAAAAAAGTGACTTAGGGCTGTTTTTCACACTTACGACCGTTGTAGCATCCCCTTCCCATCTCCTGGTTGGCCCTTGTCTTCTTTTCTGAATAGAGGTGTTGCGTTCTCACACAGGCGGTCTCAGCCAGCAATCCTGGCCAACCATAACCTCGTTTTGGTTGGAATCAGGAAAAAAAAAAAAAGAGCTGGCAGAAATGTTGATGGCTCCCAGGATGCTGGCTGCAAAGTTGTCTGAACTTTGGGAGGCTTTTCCCAACACTCTTATTGCTGGTTTATGCAAGAAGGGTCCATGTCTTGGCAGCTGGTTTCATGAGGACTAGAAACTTCAATAGTCATTGGAAAACGAATTATCCATTATGGGAGTCTCCCCCAGGCCTTTCCATCCACCTCCTCCTCAAGGGACTGCCTTTCTAAAATTCTCATCAAGGGTTGCGAGTTGAGGTTAACTCAGTCTGGAGGGCACCAGCTTGAGAAAAAACACTTCTAAGCAAATCCGGCTTCACAATCACACATGACCACACACAAAAAAGAGAGGGGGTCAAGCTATTCTCCAAAGCACCTGAAGGTTAGGACAAGAAACAACGGATGGAAACTCATCAAGGAGAGAAGCAACCTAGAATTAAGGAGACATTTCCTGACAGTGAGGACAATTAACCAGTGGAACTGCTTGCCACCAGAAGTTGTGGGTACTCCATCACTGGAGGCTTTTAAGAAGAGACTGGACAACCATTTGTCTCGAATGGTAGAGGGGTTCCTGCATGAGCAGGGGGTTGGATTAGAAGACCTCCAAGGTCCCTTCCAACTCTCTTTTTCTCTTATTCTGAAGTAGCTGAGGACATCAATGCCATATGAGCTAAAACACCAGGCTGTTTTGCTTCGGGAACATTTTGTATGCGTGTGTTTGTGGTGTGTTGCAATCTGATCTCGAGGCTCTCCAACGCAGGAATTTCAATGAAGAGGAGGATGGCTTTATGTAAATAAATTAAAGATAAAAAACTGGCTCCCAACCGCGGGAATTCGGAGGCCGCAGATTAAGTGCATCTCTTCATCTGATAAATTGTGTTCTTTCTTCCCATTAAGGGAAATTGGAGCTCTTCCAGACAGGGCCCTTTTTCAAATTTGCTGGCTGTCAGTTCATTTTTGTGCGTGCGCTTTTAAAAAGTTGGGTTAAAAGAAAAGAGAGCTGGGGCTGACCGGCCACAACAGGATTGTAGAGGACACGTAAGAACATCCATTTTTTTTCCGGACAGTCATCAGCCAAACAGAGCAAGTTCCCTGGACAAAATTTGGACAGGGTTTTGCTGGACAAGACAGTAATGAGCCGATGGCGAGAATGGTTAATTGGCTGCGGGACGAAGCTTTCCGAGAATTGCGCAAATGATCTCACCAGGCGGTGGGAAAACTAGCTTTCTCTCTGCAGCCTTCAATTAATCCTCCCGAAGGCCCTCTGTTTGCATGCACAGACCCTCATCTAGGAATAATAATAATAATAATAATAATAATAATAACAACAACAACAACAACAACAACAACAACCATCAGTCAATAATATTTCTGATACATTTTTAAATGTTCAGTTGACTGAGTTTCATGTTTAATGAATAAAAGAGATCATCATCATCATCATCACATATATCATTGACTGGTGCTGATGGTTGATACGGGTTGCTGCCAACATCCTAGGTATCAACCAAGTATCTTCATCGTACATTTTAAGAAGATATTTGGTCAATATCTAGGATGCTGGCAGCAACCCGTATCAACCATCAGCACCAGTCAATGGTATTTGTGATACATGTTTAAGTGTAAGTCAACATTCAGTTGACTGAGTTTCATGTTTAATGAATACAGGAGATAATAATAATAATAACAACAACAACAATAACAGAATAGCAGAGTTGGAAGGAACTTTGTAGGTCATTCAGTCCAACCCACCACCCAAACATTAGTGTAATTACTTGTCCACTAAGGTCTGCCAACACCCTAGATGATAGGCAGAGTCAATATGTGAGATGGGCGGTTATACAAAGGTAATAATTAACTAAAGGAAAACATGGAGGTAAAGTTGCACGATGCTGTCATGATGTTTTGCTTAATGGGCGAAAGGGAAGCTGTCAGCTTTTGCTGTCACGTGATTTTCCACCTAGAGCACAGCAATGCTTAGCAATGGAGTTGCCCATCTCAAAACTGTGGTCATTCAGTGAGGACTGTTTGGACTGCTATAAATGGAAGCATTGCCATAAGCCAGCTGCTTATACCATGGAGCTCAGCCTAGATTGATATTGGACCTCATCGTGCTACCTGGCAGTGTGAAGATGTTATTTATTTATTTATTTATTTATTTATTTATTTATTTATTTATTTATTTATTTATTTATTTATTTAGTTGGTTGGTTAGTTAGTTAGTTAGTTAGTTAGTTAGTTAGTTACTTAGTTAGTTAGTTATTTTATTGGTTCGATTTATATGCCGCCCTTCTCCGGAGACTCAGGGCGGCTTACAATGCTTTTAAGCAATAGCCTTCATACTTTTGTATATACCTGCTTAGTAGGGCTTTCGGCGGTGTTCTTTTTTATACAAAGTCATCTTATTGCCCCCACAATCCGGGTCCTCATTTTACCAACCTCGGAAGGATGGAAGGCTGAGTCAACCTTGAGCCTGGTGAGATTTGAACTCTCAGTAATTGCAGGCAGCTGGTGCTACTTAACAGCACTTTAGTCTGCTGCGCCACCAAGGCTCTTATGATAAGCAGTGGTGTGCCACTTAGGCCCAGGACTCTTCAATATCTTCATAAATGACTTAGATGATTGAATAGAAGGGGGAATTTACCAAATCTGCAGATGATACTAAGCTGGCAGGAATAGCCAACACCCTAGATGATAGGCTGAAGAACCAGAAGGATCTTGACAGACTCGAATCCTGGGCCCTATCTAACAAAATGAAATCCAATGTAGAGAAAAGTCAAGTCTTACACTTAGGTAAGAAAAACCAAAAGTAGACATTTAGACTGGGTGACACCAGGCTTAATAGCAGTGACTGTGATAGGGATCTCAGAGTCTTAATGGAGAACCAATTAAATATGAGCCAGCCGTGTGCAGCGGCAGCTAAAAACACCAATGCAAACCTAAACTGCATTAACAGAGGGATACAATCAAGATCAAGGGAGGTACTAATACCACTCTATAAAGCCTTAGTAAGGCCACACCTAGAGTTTTGCATCCAGTTTTGGTCACCACACTATAAGAAAAGAGGTTGAGACTCTAGAAAAAGTGCAGAGAAGAGCAACCAGGATGATGAGGGGACTGGAGGCTAAAACATAGGATGAACGGTTGCAGGAACTGGGCCTGGCTGGTCTAGGGAAGAGAAGGACCAGGGGAGACAGGAGAGCATCTTCCAATATTTGAGGGGCTGTCACAGAGAGGAGGAAGGGGGTCAAGCTATTTTGCAAAGCACCTGAAGGCCAGAGAAGGAATAATGGATGGAAACTGATCAAGAAGAGATTCAAGCTAGAAAGAAGGAGAAATTTATTGATAGTGAGAGCAATCAAGTGTAGGAACAGGAAGCGTTGGACCATAGGCATAGTCGAAGAAGTCAAGATAGCAGCCACAACCGAGTGATTGAAACCCCACCTCTTTAAGGGGGGAGTTTGACCACCTGGTTGCAGCTGCCATCTTCAAGTAAAGCCCACCCATCCTAACCTCCTACCTGATGCAACTGATAAAGGGGGACAGGAGGTCATTGATGTAATCCTGGATTGCTTTTGTCTTAAGGCGGTCGGCCGGAGGAACCAATCACCAGGTCCAGAGTTCGGACATAGTGGAAGAGATGGAAGAGAAGGACGAAGGCTCTCCTCGCCGGGCCGAAGTTTCTCCCCAACCCAAGGCCAACTCTACCACACAATCACCATCCAACTCCAAGACCCTGCTGTACCCCCAACGTCATGACGATTCATACGAATCCAGAAAGTATTTTGTAACAAGGGTGAGTGTTAATGATATTGGTGTTGTGTTCCCAACCAGCAGAGTGTAGAGCACAGAGAAACGTTGCTGAGAGCAATGAATAAGAGATGTGCAAACTGGTTTATCAAAAGTTTACTTTATAGTAGAAAAAACAATCTCATAGTCTTTAAATCAAATCCAAGTCTTTGGAATTTCTAAATCAGTCCAGTAGTTACAGAATCTTCTTACCCAACAAACAGTAGTTGGTTAGAATAACAAACTCACTCTGGTTCACAAACCACGATGGTAGCAGATCCATCAAAAGATGATAGCACAATGATTGCAACTCCACACACTATGGTAGCTTATCATAGCAACTCCACGCACAATGGTAGCATATCACATCAGCAACTGAACACCTTACTATACCTTGCTTAAATACTCTCACAACCAGTCATTACCTAATTACAGCATGACTCAGCATTACAATAAATCAACAAGAAAACTTTAAAGTCACATAATAATTTACAGATTCAAGTTACAGTACACATATATTGCCTGGACAACTTGTTAGGCTCAAACCATATCCTAACATTGAGTCAACTTTGCCACTCTGGGAGGGGGTCTTCTTCATGGGGTTGGCAAGGATGGCCATGACATGCCCGTCACTCTGGTGGCTTCTTCAGCAAGCACCGAAGGTCTTCCTTGACTCAGGAAGGGACAGGATGTATGTCTGAAAACATGTATTGATACCACTTTATAAGGCCTTGGTAAGACCAGACTTGGAATCCTGCATCCAGTTTTGGTCGCCACGATGTAAAAAAGATGCTGAGACTCTGGAAAAAGGGCAGAGAAGAGCAACCAAGAGGATTGGGGGACTGGAGGCTAAAACATATAAAGAACGATTGCAGAGATTGGGGATGTCTAGTCTAGAGAAAAGAAGGACTAGGGGAGACATGATCACAGTCTTCCAATATTTGAGGGGCTGCCACAAAGAAAAGGGGTAAAGCTATTTTCCAAACCACCTGAAGGCAGGAGAAGAAGCAACAATGGATAGAAACTAATCAAAGAGAGAAGCAACCTAGAACCAAGGAGGAATTTCCTGACAGTTAGGACTATTAACCAGTGGAACAGCTTGCCACCAGAAGTTTTGGGTGCTCCAACATTGGAGATTTTTAAGAAGGGACTGGACAGCCATTTGACTGAGATAGTGTAGGCTCTCCTGCTTGGGCAAGTCGTTGGACTAGAAGACGTCCAACCCTATTATTCTATGTTTTAACCAAAATAAGAGATTTTTTTTTTAATCGGGGTGTGTGTGTGTGTGAATCAGATGGTGTGAATACTACAACCACCTCAGTCCCAAGTATCTGCCCACTGAGCCTGCCAATGCATAGAGGGTGGGATCGTACCCAACGGGAAAGAGTTTACTACCGGTATTTGTCCATTTACCTCTACTCAAAGTTGAGGAGTGGGGTGCCCATGAAGGACTCCTGGCTTCTCTCCTCATCAGTGAGAATCAAGCCACCTTCACCAGAGACTGAAGCCTACAGACTCAACTTTTCTTCTCGAGTGGTGTCCATTCCTCCATGGCGGGTGGGTTAGAGATAGGTGGGGACCCCTAGGAGGCTGGAGCAGGGGTCTCCATCCTTGGCAACTTTAAGACTGGTGGACTTCAATTCCCAGAGTTCTCTGGGAGAACTCTGGGAGAACTCTGGGAGTTGAAGTCCACCAGTCTTAAAGTTGCCAAGGTTGGAGACCCCTGGGCTGGAAGGGCAGAGAAGGGGACGTAGGAGGAATCCAAAATCACATTGTGGCTTTTACCATCTTCCTCTTCCTCCTCTCCATTTTAGCCAGGAGCCTTCGATCAAGCCATGGAGGACCTCAAGACGCATCTGGCAGCAAACAAGGGAGAGGTGGCTCATAGCTTCTGGCTACTCACTGAGTAAGCTCTACGGAGGTCTTGTTGTTGTTGTTGTTGTTATTTGTGCTTCTCTTCAACCACAGACTTGTTCAAGCTAAATCAAGCCCCATGAAGGTAGTCCGGCAATTATGGACATAAGTCACACGATAGAAGTTAACACGTGACCATTTTATGACCTTTTCCTGCAATGGTTCTAAAGTGAACGTGGAGTCATTAAGCGAATCCACTCTTTGCTAACGGGCCAGTTTTGAGCAGAGACTGGAAGATCTCCTTGCAAAAACATCAGAATGCAAAGTCAGCAGAGCAAGGTTTTACACCTGGACAGAAAAAACCAGAGGGACAAATACAGATTAGGCAAAAATCTGGTTTCAAAAATAATAACTGAGAGGGACCTTGGAGGACGATCCCTTGAATATAGAAATAGAATAACCGAGTTGGAAGGGACCTTGGAGGTCTTCTAGTCCAACCCCCTGCCCAGGCAGGAAACCCTACACCACTGCAGACAAATGGTTATCCAACTTCTTCTTAAAAATTTCCAGTGTTGGAGCATTCGCAACTTCTGCAGGAAAGCAGTTCCACTGATTAATTGTTCTACCTGTCAGGAAATTTCTCCTTAGTTCCAGGTTGCTTTTCTCCTTGGTTAGTTTCCACCCGTTGCTTCTTGTTCTACCTTCAGGTGCTTTGGAGAATAGCTTGACTGCCTCTTCTTTGGGGCAGCGCCTGAGATATTGGAAGACTGCTATCATGTCTCCCCTAGTCCTTCTTTTCATCAAACAAGACATACCAGTTCCTGCAACCATTCTTCATATGTTTCGGCCTCCAGCCTTCTCAATCCTCTTGGTTGCTCTTCTCTGCACTCTTTCCAGAGTCTCCACATCGTTTTTTACATCGTGGCGACCAAAACTGGATGCAGGATTCGAAGTGTGGCCTTACCAAGGCCTTATAAAGTGGTATTAACACTTCACATGATCTTGATTCTGTCTCTCTGTTTATGCAGCCCAGCCATGTGCAGCGACAGCCAAAAATGTTTAATACACTCCTTCGTTGTACAAACAGAGGCATAGAATCAAAATCACGTGAAGGATTAGCTCCGCTTTGTACAGCCTTAGTAAGGCCACACCTGGATTATTCCATCCAGTTTAGGTCATCACTCTACAAAAAAGAGGTTGAGACTTTGGAAAAAGTGCAGAGAAGAGAAACTAAGAGGATGAAAGGCCCGGAGACTAAAACGTACAAAGAACGGTTACAGGATTTGGGTTTGGCCAGTCTAGAGAAAAGAAGGATTAGGGGGGACATGATAGCAGTCTTCCAATATTTGAGGGGCTGCCCCCAAAAAGAAGGGGGCAATCTATTCGCCAAAGCACCTGAAGGCAAGACAAGAAACAATGGATGGAAACTAATCAAGGAGAGAAGCAACCTGGAATTAAGGAGAAATTTCCTGACAGTGAGGACAATTAACCAGTGGAACAGCTTGCCACCAGAACTTGTGGGTGCTTCAACATTGGAGGTTTTTAAGAAGCGACTGGACAGTCACCGGTCTGAAATTGTATAGGGTCTCCTGCTTGAGCAGGGAGGTGGACTAGAAGACCTCCAAGGTCCCTTCCAGCTGATTCTGAAATGCTGGCTGGTTGTTCAGTGTTTGAAATGCAATCATGTGATCCAGGGGTGAAATCCAGCAGGTTCTGAACAGTTCTGGAGAACCGGTAGCGGAATTTTTGAGTAGTTTGGCAAACCGGTAAATACCACCTCTGGCTAGCCCTGCCCCCATCTATTCTCTGCCTCCCAGCTGATCGGGAGGGAATGGGGATTTTGCAGTATCCTTTCCTTGCCACGCCCACAAAATAAGCCACGCCCACAGAACCGGTAGTAAAAAAATTTAAATCCCACCACTGCAATGTGATCATCAAGGAATCTGATGCTGGAACTTGAAAACTGGATCCTAGGCAGGGGTAGGTTCTAAATATTTTTACTGCTGGTTCTGTGGGTGTGGCTTATTTTGTGGGTGTGGCTTGGTGGGGAGTAATGTGACTGGGTAGGCGTGGCCAACTTTTTTTTTTTTTTAACTTTTAAAAGCATCTTTTCTACAACCTTAAGAGGTTGCAGAAAAAAATGCTTTTAAAAGCCTCTGACGATCAGGCAACTCAGCTGGGATCGCCAGAGGCTTTTAAAGGCATCTTTTTTTTGTACAATCTCTTCGGCCGAGAGGTTGCAGAAAAAATGCTTTCAGAAGCCTCTGATGATCCCAGCTGAGCCGCACGATCATCAGAGACTTTTTTTTTTTACTTTTAAAAGCATTTTTTTGGCCAAAGAGTGTGTAGAAAAAATGCTTTTAAAAGTTTTTTTTAAAAAAAGCCTCTTATGAGATGGGTGGGGTAAGCAAGCAGCCACCGGGCCAGGGACCGGTTCGGGGGCATGGCCAGCCAATGTTATTACCGGTTCTCCGAACTACTACAATTTTTTTCTACCGGTTCGAGTGAACCGGTGCAAACCGGGAGCAACCCACCACTGATCCTAGGTAACCTTTGCTGGGGTCTGTTGTAGCTTCATACAATTGATCAGTCACCAGTCATAAGTCAAGGACTTCCTGTACAGGTAGTCCTCGACTTACAACCGTTCATTTAGTGAACGTTCGAAGTTACAACATAACTTCAAAAAAGAAACTTATGCCTGCTTTTCACCTTTGCGACTGTTGCAGCATCCTTATGGTTACGTCATCAGAATTTGGATGCTTGGCAACTGATTCATACTTATGACGGTCGCATCGTCCTGGGGTCTTTTAATCCCCTTTTGAGACCTTCTGACAAGCAAATTCAACGGGGGAGCCAGATTCACTTAACAACCGTGTTCCTGACTTAACATCTGCAGTGATTCGCTTAACAACAGCATCAAGACAGGTCATAAAATGGAGCAAAACTCACTTAACAGCTGTCTCGCTTAGCAATGGAAATTCTGGGCTCGATTGTGGTTGTAATTCGATGACAGCTAATAATGAATCTGGCATGGTAACAATTATAAATGTTCTGAAATTAATAGGTATTCTGGAAATGAACCAAACAGATGAATTTGGCACATGGATTAAGCAGAGAATAGGAATGGTACCCTTATCTTGGTAGCCCCAAAGATGGTTTTTCCAATAGGTAAATGGACTTCCTTGTGGTTTTTTTCCCTTGAAAACATTTTGCTTCTCATCCAAGAAGAAGAATACAATAACAGAGTTGGAAGGGACCCTGGAGGTCTTCTAGTCCAACCCCCTGCCCAGGCAGGAAACCCTACACCACTTCAGACAAATGGTTATCCAACATCTTCTTAAAAATTTCCAGTGTTGGAGCATTCACAACTTCTGGAGGCAAGTTGTTCCGCTGATTAATTGTTCTAACTGTCAGGAAATTTCTTCTTAATTCTAGGTTGCTTCTTTCCTTGCTTAGTTTCCATCCGTTGCTTCTTGTCCTGCCTTCAGGGGCTTTGGAGAATAGCTTGACTGCCTCTTCTTTGGGGCAGCCCCTGAGATATTGGAATGCTGCTATCATGTCTCTCCTAGTCCTTCTCTTCATGAAACTAGACATTCCCAGTTCCTGCATCTGTTCTTCCTATGTTTTAGCCTCCAGTCCCCTAATCCTCTTTGTTGCTCTTCTCTGCACTTTTTCTAGAGTCTCCACATATTTTTTTACATCGTGGTGACCAAAACTGGATGCAAAATTCCAAGTGTGGCCTTACCGAGGCCTTATGAAGTGGTATTAACGCTTTATATTTCTGAACTTTTCAGTTCAGAAGAACTGAACTGAACTGAAGAGACTTCTTGGCCGAGAAGCAAAATGTTTTCAAGGGGAAAAAAAAAAACCATAAGAAAGTCCATTTACCTTTTGGAAAAAGCACCTTTGGGACAAGCATGACCTGGAGGATGGAGAATCTCCATAGACACCCTGTGTTGATTGCACTGATACAAACAGACACACAGATACACAAACTTGTTTTGTTCAGCTCGTAAATCGAAAGGGTTGGAGGAGGGAATGGGTGATTTATTTAATGCCTGCTTTAGAGTCCTCCTTCCTGCTCTTCTTTTAATGGGTCTCTTCCCGATTCTCTCCTTTATTCTAAAATTAAATTCTGCCTTCTTTGGGGATATTTGTTTGTTTGTTTGTTGTTGTTGTGATGAATAGAACTATGGCTTGTACCCTAATCATCCCTAAAACTGTCTTACACTCAGTAGGAAATTTTTTTAAAATTGAATTTCAACATTTGCCTCCTCTAGGGGCTGCTGAAAATAATCACTTCTGTTTACTTTGCAGAAATGATTTAATTGTCAATTCCCGCAAGCTCAAACATTATTATATATAACAGGAGAGAATTACTTTAATAAAGTTTCTGGCAGTCTGTAGATATTTATTTTCCTGTAATGCCACCTAGAGGATGCCAAGAGAACTGCACCCTAGCTCTGTTTCAATTGTGCTTCCTACTTTGGGGGGGGGCACTTCAGCCACTGTTAAGATGTGAGGACTTCAACTCCCAGAATCCCCTTGCAAGCTGGGGAATTCTGGGAGTTGAAGTCCACGCGTCTTAAAGTTGCTGAGATTGGAAAACCCTGCTTGGACGTAGATAAATTCAAGATAATTTTTGAATTAGAAGTCCTCCAAGCTCCCTTCCAACGGTGTTGTAATGAAAAATGCAAAGGCCCACATCCTTCGTTATCCGTGGACCTTGACAAGGATTGTACAATGGATGGAAACTAATCAAGGAGAGAAGCAACCTAGAATTAAGGAGAAATGTCCTTACTATGAGCAATTAACCAGTGGAACTGCTTCCCTCCAGAAGTTGTGGGTGCTCCATCACTGGAGATGTTTAAAAAGAGATTGGACAGCCATGTGTCTGAAATGGTACAGGGTCTCCTCCCCCAACAGGGGGTTGGACTAGAAGACCTCCAAGGTCCCTTCCAACGCTGTGATTCTGTATTCAGTTGAAGCTCCACCTGGGTTTTTATGTGCCATGCATGTAAAATTAGGTGGAGCTTCAATTCGATGCTTGCAATTGTCATGTTGACTTTTTTGACCCTTGGCTGACTGCCTTAGTTCCCTGGGCTAAATTCCCATAATGCACTGAAACCTGAATTTACACAGGCAATTTCAGCAATTTATCAAGAGCAAAAAGCACAGATTATTATTAATGGAAGTTTGACGACAGAGTTTAAAATTGAAAAAGGAACAAGACAGGGATGTCCGTTGTCCCCACTTTTATTTATTTTAACATTGGAAGTCTTGCTAAATACAATACGGGACTCAAAAATTTTGAAAGGCATAATGATAAGGCAAGAGGATTATAGAGTAAAGGCATTTGCAGATGACTGGTGGTTACCCTATCACAACCAATGGAATCAATAATCTTGATGAACGACATTATACAAGACTAGGTAGAGTTTCAGGTTTCAGAGTGAACTCAAAAAAGACTAAAATGATAGTCAAAAATATGACACAAGATCGTAAATATGAGTTTGAAAGGAGGGCAGGTTTTGAAATTGTACCTAAGGTAAAATATCTTGGAGTTCAGGTTTGCAGAATCAAACATGAAATTGTTTCAAAATAACTATGAGGTGTTGTGGCGAGAGGCTCAGAAAGACATGGAGACTTGGAAAAAGCTGCAACTGTCTTTACTTGGAAGAATAGCAGCAGTTAAGATGAACATTTTGCCAAGATTTCTGTTTTTGTTTCAAATGATTCCGTGCTTAAAAGTGATAAACAACTGAAAGTTTGGCAAACTGGACTTAATAAGTTTGTCTGGAACGAGAAAAAGCCGAGAGTGAAATTGAAAATTATGCAAGATGTTCCAGAAAGAGGAGGCCTTAAACTTCCAAACCTACAGTTATATTATGATGCAGCAGCTTTAACTTTAACAAGTGATTGGTTTGGAAGTAAAAAGGCTGGAATATTGAATGCAGAAAGTTTTTGATCTTGAATTTGGATGGCATGCTTACCTATTTTATGATGACAAAGTCGATAAAGTATTTAAAAGTCATATACTTAGAGACTCTTTGATGAGAGTTTGGAAGAAGCACCGACTCAAATGGGATTATAAAATACCGCTATGGCTGGATCTTGGTCATACCTTGTGGAATACAAATATAATGTCACTCGGGGGTTTTTATACAAAGAGGTTCTTTTTACAGATGCGGGCAGATGGCAGTTGAAGACATTGCAGACACTGTTGGACGAAGGGATTAATTTAACCTGGTTACAATATAATCAATTACAACTGAGATGGAAAGAGGACCAAAAAACTGGTATTATGTTGCATGAGGAAGAATTGGTTAGACATATAAGAGAGAAAGGTCAATGCATATTAAAAGGCTTTACAATGTTTTGCTAGAAAGGGATTCAGAAACGGAATTAGTTAAAGATTGTATGATTAAGTGGGCACAAAATTTTGAAGAACCAGTGATGTTGGAAACATGGGAAAAAATTTGGGTCAGAATGTTTAAATTTACACAGTCGCAGAATTTGAGGGAAAATTTCTATAAAATGTTTTATAGATGGCATCTAGATCCTAAAAAATTGTCATGTATGTACCCTAATGTTCAGCCAAAATGTTGGAGATGTGAATGTTTGGATGCTACGTATTATCATGTTTGGTGGACCTGTAGGAAAGTTAAGGCTTTTTTGGATAAAAATAAGGTGGGTCATGCAGAATGTTTTGAAGAAAAAAATTCAATTTTCTCCACAATTGTTTTTATTGGGCATAGTTAAGGGTTTTACACGGGATGAAACAAAATTAATATTGTATATGATAACAGCAGCAAGATTGTTGATAGGTAAATATTGGAAGAATGAAGCTTTGCCTACTATCGAGGAATGGACTTCGAAGATGGCCAGTTTTGCAGAGATGGCGAAGATTTCAGCATATTTAAAAGATTGTTCACAAGAGACTTATGAATGGGAATGGAAAAGGTGGATAGAATATGTTCAGAACAAATACCAAATTAGAAAGTATCAAATAGCTTTTAATTTGAAAACAATGTATTAGAAATATTTTAATATAAAGAGACAAAGAGGGAAAATTATGTAGGGGGAGGGATGGGTTCAGGTATATATATCAGTGTTATTAGTTTTCTGAGTACATAATAGGGAAGTCTGGGGGGGGAGGGTTAGGGAGGTTAGGGAGGACGGGAAGTTTGGGGAGGGAGGTGGGGGGGTGAAAAAAAGGGGAAAATGTAATTGTAAAACTTTTGCAATAAAAAAAAAAAAAAAAAAAAAAGATGTGAGGACTTCAACTCCCAGAATCCCCTTGCAAGCTGGGGAATTCTGGGAGTTGAAGTCCACGCGTCTTAAAGTTGCTGAGATTGGAAAACCCTGCTTGGACGTAGATAAATTCAAGATAATTTTTGAATTAGAAGTCCTCCAAGCTCCCTTCCAACGGTGTTGTAATGAAAAATGCAAAGGCCCACATCCTTCGTTATCCGTGGACTTGACAAGGATTGTACAATGGATGGAAACTAATCAAGGAGAGAAGCAACCTAGAATTAAGGAGAAATGTCCTTACTATGAGCAATTAACCAGTGGAACTGCTTCCCTCCAGAAGTTGTGGGTGCTCCATCACTGGAGATGTTTAAAAAGAGATTGGACAGCCATGTGTCTGAAATGGTACAGGGTCTCCTCCCCCAACAGGGGGTTGGACTAGAAGACCTCCAAGGTCCCTTCCAACGCTGTGATTCTGTATTCAGTTGAAGCTCCACCTGGGTTTTTATGTGCCATGCATGTAAAATTAGGTGGAGCTTCAATTCGATGCTTGCAATTGTCATGTTGACTTTTTTGACCCTTGGCTGACTGCCTTAGTTCCCTGGGCTAAATTCCCATAATGCACTGAAACCTGAATTTATTACTCATCGGACTTTAAATCCATTGGATTTATGTTTCCATTCACGTATCGCCTTAATAATGAACATACAAAGTCCCTTCAAACTCTGTTACTCTGTGTTCTATTGTTGGAAGAAATATCCATCTGATTCAGTTCCAAGCTGGGAGAAAGACACTGGAAACAACATGGAGGATGCTTGGAAAGATTAATGATGAACAGCACCACCAAGCCCATCGTCCTGGTGCAGCTGACCACATGGAGTTGAGAGGGGGGGAGGTATTTATAGGCTTTGCACTTGAGCTTCCTGTTCCTGTGCAAGAACATGTCTTCTATTGGCTGTTGTCAGACTACCATGGGGCAGTGGTGGGTTGCTCCCGGTTCGCACCGGTTTGCAAGAACCGGTAGTAAAAAAAAAATTTAGTAGTTCGGAGAACCGGTAATAACATTGGCTGGCCACGCCCCCGAACCGGCCCCGGCCCAGTCACCGCTCGCTTACCCCGCCCACCTCATCAGAGGCCTTTTTTTTTTTTTTTACTTTTAAAAGTATTTTTTCTACAACCTCTTCGGCTGAAAAAATGCTTTTAAAAGTTAAAAAAAATCCTCTGATGATCGCGCGGCTCAGCTGGGATCTTCAGAGGCTTCTGAAAACATTTTTTCTGCAACCTCTTCAGCCAAAGAGGTTGTAGGAAAAAAAATGCTTTTAAAAGCCTCTGGCGATCCAGCAGATTTGCCTGATGGTCAGAAGCTTCTAAAAGCATTTTTTTCTGCAACCTCTTAAAGTTGTAGAAATAATGCTTTCAAAAGTTAAAAAAAAAAGTTGGCCATGCCCACCCAGTCACATTACCCCCAAGCCACGCCCACAAAATAAGCCACGCCCACAGAACTGATAAGTAAAAAAAATTTAGAACCCACCCCTGCCATGGGTCCATGTAGGGGTCATGTTTGTCTGAGCTAAGTTTGGTTGAAGTTCGGTCTGCTGATGGAATGAAGGGGCTTCTTGGGCAATTCCTATTGTGGCTGAGGGCTAACCTTATCTTTGTTCAGACCTTGCTGCAGGGAATTTGCTTATGAATAGAGCTAGCTACCTCTTTATCTCTTAACATCTGATGTGGGTTATTAAGGAAGGAGGGAGCCGCTTTCTGTCTGGAAAAACGTGTTTCTCCTTTAGGGAAAATTATATTCTGCCTTTTTAATATTTCTCAAAATATTTCATTCTTCTAGGAGAGGGGTGGGTGCTAACTTTCTATACTTGGTTTCTCCATGGGCAGAGAATTGCCCACAATCTTCTTACTATTAGTTCTCCCTCCGCTTTCTCCCAGAATCGATCACTGGAACATCGAGAAGGAGCGGATTGTGGTGCTCACCGATGCTGCCCTCCCTGTGTGCAAGTATGACTTCATCATGCTCAAATGCCTGGAGCTGCAGAGGATCCCTCTGACCTACATCGAGAAGATCTCCACAGGTCCTTTCGCTTTTCCAGAGAAGTCCTTGGACAGGTGAGGTCCCGCGGCTCATCGGTGGGGAGGGAAGGGATCTAGTAGCTTTCCAAGGGTGGATGCATTGCAACTACCAGCATGAAGAACATGGAAGGCCCGTGTTGATGACCAACTGGGTAGGATCTTGTGGCAGAAACAGCTGAGAGAACATTTAGTGCAACCCCAAAGGTGCTTTCCCAAAAGGTAAATGGACTTTCTTGGTGAGGCAAGAGAAACCAAATGCACAGGTACAGAATAGGTGAAACCTGGCTCAATTGTGGTAACTGTGAGAGGGATCTTGGAGTCCTAGTGGACAACTATTTAAATAGGAGCCAGCCGTGTGTGGCAGCTGCCAAAAAAGTCAATGCAATCCTGGGCTGCATCAACAGAGGGATAGAATCAAGATCACGTGAAGTGTTAATACTGTTCTGTCCCCGTACCCCACACGCACCCCCACAGACGGCCCGGAGTTAATAAGCCACACGACAAAACTCTTTGAAGATAAAGCTGGCAGCAACCCAGTGGCTAGCTGCCAATTCAGACTTTACTCACACAAAACAAAGATTAGACTGCAAGCATTCCGATAAAACAGGCAGAGTTTCAACAATACAAGGATTAATAATCCAAATGCAGTCCGATAAAGCAGGCAAAGTCCAGTAATGCAGAGATCATGGAGTATTTCCAATTTTTGCTCGTCACAAACTGAACCGGCCACCACACCCACATTTATACCCTGTGGGGTGTGGTCCAGTGACTCAGCTAATCTCTGGCACGCCTTCCCCTCTGCTGCGCACGCTTCTCCCTGCGCCTCTGCCGAGGGTCCAGCCAGCACTTATCTCCTTCGTCGCTGTCCACCTGTGGCTGCGGGGACGTGCTTGGCTCTGAGCCTATCTTTTGGCCTTCGGTGTCCTCCGGAGGCATTGCCAGAGAGGAGGGTCCTGGAGGGAGGCCTTGCCAACTCCTCTCCCTCACTCTCAGAGTCTGCATCTGTCGATAGCCCAGGCTCAGGCAACGGAGCCACAACAAATACTGCTTTATAATGCCTTAGTAAGGCCACAACTTGGAATCCTGCTTCCAGTTTTGATCGCCACGATGTAAAAAAGATGTAGAGATTCTAGAAAGAGTGCAGAGAAGAGCAACAAAGAGGATTAACGGGCTAACACATACGAAGAACGGTTGCTGGAATTGGGTATGTCTAGTCTTATGAAAAGAAGGACTGGGGTGACATGATAACAGGGTTCCAATATTTCAGGGGTTGCCCCAAAGAGGGGGAGTCAAGCTATTCTAATCTAATAAAATAAATAAATAAATAAATATTCTTCAAAGCCCCTGAAAGCAAGACAAGAAGCAATGGATGGAAACTAATCAAGGAGAGAAGCAACCTCGAATTAAGGAACTTAATTGATGGGGAGAACCAGTGGAACAATCTGCCTCAGAAGTTGTGGGTGCTTCAACACTGGAGGTTTTAAGAAGATATCGGACAACCATTTGTCTGAAATGATAATACGGTTTCCTGCCTGAGCAGGGGGCTGGACTAGAAGACCTCTAAGGTCCCTTCCAATAAAGTAGGATGTAAAGTGAGATTTGGATATAAGAGTGAAATGATACGGGGTTGGCTTGGATGATCTCTAAAGGTCCCTCGGCCTAGTTATTGTAAGAGACAGTTTCTGAGTTCAAAAAGTCAAACCGCAGAGTTAGCTAACTTTCTTTCTTCCATGTCAAAATGCAGAACTAAAAACCACATGGGTCAGCATGACACCTGTCTCTCAGACACAAGATATAATCAGCTTTTCCGCCCAGCAATAAGGGCTTAGCCAATAGGAATGATTTCAGATATTTCCGTGTTTTTGCTGCTTTTGAAGACTATAAGAATATGTTCTGTCCCCAACCACACGCACACACCACCAACAGATGTTCAAGAGTTAAAGACCAAACCAGCCGGCAAAATCCTTTTCCTTATGATAACGGAACTTGGCAACAACCTAGTGGCTGTCTGCCAAGAGTTTATTACTTACGAAGAGGAGAGATAACTTCTCCCCGCTTCTGGTACATCAAAAGAAACAGCTCAATAATTACGGAGTTAATCAAGTCCAGAGATAATCCAGCAAAGTCTATAGCCAAAAGTCCAGCAATGCAGAATGGCGTGGAAGCTTTCAGCTTTGTTCGTCACAAGGTTTGACTGGCCACCACGCTCCCTTTTATACCCTCTGGGGTGTGGTCCAGTGACTCAGCCTAATCCCGGGCACACCTTTTCTTCTGTTGCGCGCGCTTATCTCTGCGACGCTGGCGTGGATCCAGCCAAGACTCATTACCCTCATCACTGTCCATCTGTGGCTGCGTGGACGTGCTTGGCCCCGCCCTATCTCTTGCCCTTCGGCGGACACCGAAGGCATTGCCAGAGAGGAGGGTCCTGGAGAGGGAGGCCTTGCCAACTCCTCTCCTTCACTCTCAGAGTCCTCTCCTGCCAATGACACAGGCTCAGGTAACGGAGCCACAACAGAATGCGTGTTCTGATCAGAACGTTGTTCGGATGTTAGATGGTTTATCTTTTCTGTCTGAACCTTTTGGCCAAAATAAAGCTTCTCTTGATCTCGAAGTCCGAGTCCTTTGATTTTCTGCAACACCAACTCTGTTATATTGTATTGAATTGAAGCTTCACCTGGTTTTTTAATGTGAATCACATGTGCCATGCACTATAAAATCAAGTGGAACTTCAATTGTACCCTTGCAGTTTGACTTTTCAGCAGTTCTAAGAAGGCTCCACACCCATTTGCATCACTCAGGTGACCCCGAGGACACAGAGAAACCTCCAAGTGGCCTCAAAGACCCTCTAAAAGGATGCAAATGACCAGCTGTCTGCAAAGGGTATAAAATAAATCCTTCCATTCTCCACCATTCAGTCAGAGCTGAAGATGCTTCTTGGATGAGAAGAGAAACGTTTTCAAGGAAAAATGAAGTCCAGTTGCCTTTTGAAAAAACATCTTTGGGACAAACATTGACTGAGAAGCAACATAGACACCCAGGGAAGAGATGCTAGGATCCTCCAGGACTCAGAAGGTTTGGAAGTCCCAAAGTTCAGAACTTCTGGCCCATCTGATGTTCTAGTGATGCTCCAGGATTGTCCAAGAGAGCCTCAATGTTCTTCTGCTGGCATCTCAGCCACCAAGGCTCTTCTCTGCAGAGTCGATGCAAATATTTGCAAAGACGATTAGGGGTCTGGAGTCTAAAACATGCTTAGAACTGTTCCAGGAATTGGGTATGTCTAGTTTAATGAAAAGAAGGACTATCTATCAGAATAGAGCTGGATGGGACCTTGGGGTCTTCTAGTCCAACCCCCTGCTCAAGGCAGGAGACCTTATTCCTTTCCAGACAAATGGCTGTCCAGTCTCTTCTTAAAAACCTCCAGTGATGGAACATTCGTAACTTCTGCTGGCAAGCTGTTCCACTGGTTAATTGTCCTCACTGTTAGGACGTTTCTCCTTAATTTCAGGTTGCTTCTCTCCTTGATTAGTTTCCATTCACTGTTTCTAGAAATTCTGTTTATATAACACACCACATAGAGCAAACATACATACATACATAAATACAAAAGTATGAAGGCTATTGCTTAACGCATTGTAAGCCGCCCTGAGTCTCCGGAGAAGGGCGGCATATAAATCAAATTAAAAAACAAACAAACAAACAAACAACAAAAAAACAAAAACAAAGGTACAGTCACCATGTGCTTTACTGCTCAACTATATAACTTTAACAGGAAAAGAGGAAACTCTACTTAGAACAAAAGAGCATAGAGCTATAGACTATAGAGCCAACCTGGTAAACACTGCCATCTAGTGGTTAAATACTACTGTACTTTTTGCATAAAAATACATTTCAACAATAATTTCCAACACTTGTCCTGTTTTCGGGTGGTTTAGAGCGGGGGTCTCCAACCTTGGCAACTTTAAGCCTGGAGGACTTCCACTCCCAGAATTTCCACAGCCAGGTTTGCTTTGGAATTCTGGGAGTTGAAGTCCTCCAGGCTTAAAGTTGCCAAGGTTGGAGAGACCCCTGGTTTAGAGAATAGATGGACCCCCTCTTCTCTGTGGGAGCCCCTCAAATACTGGAGCAAGGCTACCATGTCCCCCCCCCTACTCCTTCTTTTCACTAACTAGGCATACCCAATTCCTGCAACCGTTCCTTCGTATGTTTTTGTCTCCCGGTCTTTAATCCTCTTAGTTGCTCTTCTTTGCACCTTTTCCAAAGTCTCAACATCTTTTTTGTAATGTGGTGACCAAAACTGGATCCAGAATATTCCAGTATGGCTTTACTAAGGATTTATAAAATGGTACTAATACTTCACCTGAATTTGATTCTAGGCCTCCGTTTAAACAACCTAGGATTGCATTAGCTTTTTTGGCTGCTGCCGAACTCGGCTGGCTCATGTTTCAGCGATCGGGCAATCAAATTAAGTGATTGGCTGGGGGACGGGTAGGTGACATGATAGCACTCTTCCAATATTTGAGGGGCTGCCACAGAGAAGAGGGGGTCAACCTGTTCTGCAAAGGCCCCTGAAGGCAGGACAAGAAGCAACAGATGGAAACTCAACAAGGAGAGAAGCAACCTGGAATTAAGGAGGAACTTCCTACAGAGTGAGGACAATTAATCAGTGGAATGACTTTGTCTCCAGAAGTTATGGGTGCTTCATCACTGGAGTTTTTTAAAGAAGAGATCGGACAACCCTTTGTCTGAAATGGCACAGGGTTTCCTGCTTGAGCAGTGGGCTGGACTAGAAGACCTCCAAGGTCCCTCCACCCTGTTATTCTGAATTGGAGGCAGGAGGTGTGGCATGGAAGCTGCCTGGCGAGCTTTCTCTCCATCCTTCAGCAGGTGGCACTCTTCTCTCTGAGATGGCAGGGCTGACCTTCTTAGCAGGAACTCACTGTGTGTCCAAGAGCCGGGAATCCCAGCCAACTTTTAATTTCCTTGTCCCTGTTCACCTTGTTCGCCCCAGAGAGGGAGAAAGAGAGAAGCCGAGAAAG